GGGCCAAATAAGTTTATATTTGCACTTGTATTCAATTGGTGCCATATTTTGCTTGAAAATGTATTTTTATCAACTATGGAGGCTTTGTATGTTAAAACTTGTTAATGGAATGTAAAGAGGCTTTAGGCCATGTTGGTACATCTATTTTATCATATTGCGTGCACTTGCATACTCACTTTGGCAAACAACACCATCCTTGATAAAACAAAAACTCTTAGCAGCATTTTTAGGGAGTTTTAGCCTATTCTGTTCCACGGGCATATCGGGTATTTCACAATGCATTTTTTTTCATTTTTCCTTGCAAGTCACGTAGAAAACTTAATTTTGAGGGGGGTTTCTTTTTTATGTTTTTCCAGAAAATGCGATCTTGGCCCTCAAAAATCCATATTTGTCCGAAAAATCCTTGCTGCCAGGTTTTGTAGATTTTTAGTGCAAATGTACTTGGTACTATTCAATGACTTTTTTTTGAAAAGTGTGACGATCGATCCAAAACTTCCGGGGGTCTTGTGGGTGTATTTTAAGGTTGCATTTTCAATTTAGGCAATTTAAAAACCTCCCAAAGACCTATTTCCTTTCTTTGGGCAGCATCTCGGAGAAATTTTTACCCCCTTGACCAGATTTTCTTGGGGGCATTCTGGGCATTTTACAATGCATTTTTTTTTGTTTCCGTCCATGATTGGGGTAGGAAACTTGATTTTAGTTGGGGTTTATTCTTTTATTTTTTCCAAAAAAGTCAGTTTAGATGCCCGTTTTTACTCTCAGTTGCAGCAGTAGTGGGTTGACGGCACTGTAGCTGTCACAGCCTTCGTCGGGCGGCCGCGACATCGATTTTGTTTTTGACCTTTCTCCCTCATCCGGACTCCAAATCAAGTGAATTTTTTTTGAAATTGATTAATTTTTCATTGTCTATGCAAGGAGGTGCTCAGTTGAACTCAGATTTTTCTGGATAATTACCAGTTTACCCCTTTGAGCTTTATTGCTCGTTTTTCTTTGTTTTGTCGTTTCTCCTTCGTTCGGAATCCGAATAATAAAATTCTTGAGTCCATCATAATTAGTTTTTCATTGTCTTCCCAGTGGTCTTCTTGATAGCACTTGAATCCACTTTTTTGCAAAATGACCATTTTGCCCCTAGGTTCCTTTTTGTCCGTTTTTGAAACGACACTTCCGCATTTGTTTTCCTTTGGGTTCCATGACCTCATTAAGGGTCACATTGGTGTCTTAGAGACGCATTTTATCTTTAGAGACCATTGTTTCACCTTTTGCTTCCGCATTTCAGATCCGTTATCGGGTCATCTTTTGGTCATCACTAACGTACCGGGTTTACAAAACTTGGGCCGTCACACACCGAGTTGATTCAAAACCCGGGTCGTTACTTTTTTCTTCCCCTTTAGGATTGTAGGAGAGTTTTTGATCATTTTGGTCAACCTAAATGGCTATTTCTGTCAACCTAAATAGCTTCCACACTCCAGCTTCTTTAGTTCTATTTCAGCACTGTAATTCCGACTTTAAACGGTCATATCTCCTTTATTTCTAACCCAAATTGGGTGATTCTTGAGCCTAAACTCAAGAATTTTGAGTCAGATTTCCAATGGTACCAACACCACTCTCAGATTCCAACCATAGTGGGAGTTATTAATGTTTTAGTAAAGTAGGGTCAGTTTTCACTTACACCGGGAAAGGGTATTTTGTGGGATTCTTGTCCAATGTTCTTGGAATCTCTTGGAATGTTGTGAAATGACTAGATTAGGTTGTATTGACCTTGTTTGACTTGTTTAGAGTCAAGTTTCTCTTCTTAATTGTGAATTGACCATTTTGCCATCGGTTAATGGATTTTGCCCGTTTTGACCTTTGTTTCCGCTTTCGTTTCATTTGAGTTCCGTGACTTCATGGAAGGTCACCTTGGTGTCTTGGGGATGATTTATATCTCTATAGACTTTGGTTTTATCTTTTGCTTCCGCATTTCGGATCCGTTATCAGATCAACTTTTGGTTCATCACTGACGCACCGGGTTGAAAAACTTGGGCCGTCACAGGAGGTGATATTATGGTATCCTTTTGCTTCTTATTTTTTTGTATAAGTCTCAGATGTTTATCCAAATCAAAGTATAAGATGAAAATTAATTCTTAAAGCACAATTATTTGGGATATTTATTCTCAAGAGTGAAGTGTACAGAGAATAGAATTAGGCAGGCAAAATGCAATGATCAACATTGTGTGTGCATGGACAACAAGAGTTGAATAAAAAAATAAAATAGAATTACCTAAAATTTTAAAAATAGAAGTACATCTATTTGGTGGTAATGTGGGATGTCAGATGTGCAAACTGATTGTAGTACTAATTGAAAAACAAATTAAAATTAAGACTGGCAATAAAACCATAAAAGTACCAGTTTTGCACATTCAATTTTGCTTTGCCGACATGAAAGCTTTTGAAACTATGACAAAACAATGGTCTCAATCTATGTTATACATGAGGTAGGTTGTTAGAATTTGAAAGGCTTGTACTATATATTTTGTTTATGGCAAAAGAATGAAGTGCAAATAATCTTGTCTATGAAATATATGGAATCTGTTGAGTAATACAAACATGGATATAGGTAATTTAAAGCAATGATGAAACTGCCAATTTCATGACTATTTTGTGAATTAACCTTTGATATTAATGTATCACTTTATTGAATATACAAGTAAATTAGGGGTATTTATAACAACATTTAGTCTTACCTATGGAATGTTATAGATGATGACTAATTATACTGGCAGTGAGTATTGATGTTGCTACTCTTGGAATGTTTAGATCTGATATTTGATTGTCTAGTACTCTATTTTCATTTACATTGAGTAATACTAGTGGGTGAGATATATATTTATAATCAGTAATATCAGATTGCTGGATGCACCTCTAAATAGTCATGATTACGAGTTGTGGTCTTCAACAAAGTCTTGGACATAATTTGTACTAAATAATTATAGTCATTTTTATAAACTAAAATTACCGTTTAGGTTAAAAAAAAATGTAAAAGAAAATTGTTTAACTGAATTGTCTGACATGAAGTCAATAATTGTTGTCTATGGTCTCCTCTAAAGGTTGGGACGTGATATAAGAAACTCGTGGTTTTTTACTTCTAAAGTGAACTGAGATAAAGTGAAGCACACCTATCAGGCCTTTGTTTTAGGGCTATAACCTCCACCTCCTGAAAGGAGAACTGGAGGTTCAAGTCTCAAGTGCCGCAAAATGAGAGTGTGCATTACTTACATACAAATTACAATAGAAAAGGAATAAAATGAATCTAAATACATTGGAGGAAATATTATATAAATGCTCATATTAACTAACAAATCAAAGGAGCAATATTTGAATATAAGTTATCAATGAGTTAATACATTTAAACTAAGTCACATTACTTAAAGAATAAAAGAAAGGAAAAAGTTACTAAGATTTGAATGTGAGGAGCAAAGCTTAATCTCTTGTCCTTGAAAAACCTAAGCCTCATTGGCATAGCACTATTTTGTGTAAACTACCAGTAACAGAGCTTTGAGCTTGTATTAGGATTGCCCAAAATGATAGATATATTGGTGTAATATATATGATATAGAAAAGATAAATTTGAGTTGTACATGTATAAGGAAGCCCCCACTACCTTCCATTTTATAGCTTTATAAGTCGTTGGGTAATATTCTTTAACATTTTAGAATATAAATAATGGAAAGAAATGTTGATTATTATATAGAACTCCTTCCTATACTACATGTGATATGAGACACTTAATATAAAATTTGAAATTAAGAATTACTTTTGTTTCAAAACTAGGACATATGTATTATATAAAGTTTTTTCTTTTTTTTTTTCGTGGTCTGTGGATGAGGCTTCATTTCATGTAATGTCATAGTTGATCATCTAAGTTGAGAGAATAGATAAGGAAGAACGAGGGTCTATATCATCAAAGGTTGCTGGAGTTTTTTCTCTAAAGATTGAAAATATTACATTAATATTGCTGAAGTGATTGTGATGAATCATGAAAAGATGTGTTCTTCAAGTTGAAATCTTTTGATGATGTTGGAAGGATAATAGTTTTGTTTACCGGTCGAGGTATTGAGAAATATGCGCATGCGATTCTTTAGGTGGTGATTGATTATGTTTGGGTGGTTGTTTTCTTATTTTTTTTATTTTTTTTTCCTCAATAAATTGAAAAAGAAAATTAAAGTACAAAAGGAGGGCAGGGGCCAAACTCTTCATCATCTTCTTGTTTATATGTTGTTTTTAGATTCCCCATATAGCTATTGAAAACACACATTACATCTCCACTTTGAATTCATGTTCTAGTTTTCTAATTGTATAATTTTTAAGAAATAAAAATTCCAAGTTTCTTCATGTGCTGTTTTTATTTATTTTTTTATTTTTTTATTCCTTTTATTTTTCTTATTCAATTTTGGACACTGCCTCATAAAAGCTCTGGTTTATTCATTATGTGCCCATAATCCAGCTTTCATTAAACTCACTACAAGAAGAATGGGCTTTTATGACATAGTGTTTACGGGGATTCTTTGTTTTGCATCGTGATTATCACCATTTACGGAGTTTTTAAAAGAATCCCCGTAATAGGACATGTTTTCACGAGGATTTTATAGAATCGTGTAGAAAAATATTTTTACGGCGTATTAAAGAGCCCGTGAATATTTAGATACATTTACGGCATATTTGTACACCTTTAACGGGATAAATATTCCTCGTTGATAAAGCACACATCTACGACGCCTTTTTTGCTCCGTAAATAAGCAATAAAAATTTTCACATCTAAATCACATTTTTTGCCCCATAAATAAGATGAACTTACGGCTCGTGGATAAATTTCATATCTACGGTGCCTTTTTTGCTCCGTAAATAAGCAATAAAAGTTTTCACATCTACAACGGCTTTTTGTCCCGTAAATAAGCTTTTTGCAATGCTCCTTTCACTTTTTCCCTTCCTTCCATTTTTTTCCCCTTCCCTCCATTTTTTCCCTCCGTTGATTTGTAATATTTGGGCCCTAAACTACATCATTTTTGGGGGCCAATTAACACTGTATTCCACTTTCCCATTTCATTTTGCAATAGCCCTAACTCCTTCAGCGGCTCTCTTTCCTTCTATCACAGGTCTCGCCCTTCCAGATTACAATCTATATACACACACAAACACACACACATATATATACACACACACATGTAAGTACACTACAGCAAGTACACTACAACTTTCATTTCCATTCTGCAATCACAAGTTCAAGTATTCAATTGCTCTGACTCCTTGTAAAGACTGCATGTTTTTGTTTTTGTGTCCATACCATTAGTTTCTCTTTTTTCTGCTAATTTTAGCGGTTTCATAATCGATTTTTGGGTTTTTTTTCTTGTTGATTTTCACTAATTAGATCTCACTCTTGCTGTTTAAGACCGTATGGTTCAGTTTGATTGCTGTGTTTAGCTGATTGAAGAGCTTTACATTTCATGAATTTGTGCTTATCTGTTTGGGCGAGAACTGTCTAAGAGTTTGTTGAGTTTGGTACATATATAGGTATATCTAGAACTCAATCTAGATTCGAGGGTTTTAGTCTTGCCCTTCCATCACCGGTGGTTTAGAGAGACAAAGTCATTGCTACTGCATCAAATGGGGTTTTCGGAAGATTCTGCAGAGCTCTGATGGCGGCGGCCGCCGGCATTGCAAAGGACACTCGGGAAACCAGGGTCTTGAAGGTTGGACCCATCTCCCCGGAGCTGAAAAAATTTATGGGAGTCCCCTCAACGTGTCGCACCGATGCCGTGAGAAAGGTGTGGGCACACATAGTGCAACACAAGCTTCAGGTATGTTCATGTCTCTGTGATTCCATTTCATTATTGTTCGACCAAAATTTTTCCTTTTCTGTTTATAGATTTATTTATATATATATGTATATATATATATATATATATATATATATATATATATATGTTTCTACTACACAATTTTCTCTGTATGCTCTTTTATTTGTTCATGATTTTGAATTTTTGAATTGGTAAGTTATATTTGCCTTTTCTCTGTCTCTGCGACTGCAAACTACAAGAATCATATCAGCCTCCCAAATCGCCTCCATCTATATTCTCGTTCTCGGCTCTGAACTTGCCCTCTCTCTGTCTCTGCAACTCCAAACTACAAAATCTACAAGAATCAAATCAGCCTCCGAAATTGCCTCCATCTTTATTCTTGTTCTTAACTCTGAACTTGCCCTCTCTTTATCTCTGCAACTGCAAACTACAAAATCTACAAGAATCAAAACCCATATCGGCATATCATTTCAGATTGTTCAAAATATCAAAACCCATATCCTTCAATTTCCATCGCCTGCTGTTCCAGTTCGGGTTCACCGTTCACAAACTTCAGCCTCTGGCCCGCTGTCTCTCAACTCTCAAGCCCTTTCTCTGCAACTGCTAACTTGTATGTAAGGGCTTTGTTTTATTATTTTTTTCTAAATCAATTAATCAATTTCTGTAATTCTTGTTTTACAAATTAAATCAAATTAAGTGAAATTTTTAGGGCAAATCATTTCAGCCTCCCCAATCGCCTCCATCTCTATTCTCGTTCTCAACTTTGGACAAATTAACTGAAAGAAAATTGAGTAGTTGTACTGGCCAGTGGACTATGTTTGTGGAGTTCATTGTTCTATGAGGCCTTGAATGATTAACAAATTAAGTTCTAAAATTTTATTTTATTTTATTTTTTTGTCACTATTTTTTCGGAGCTCGTTAATGGATTATTGTTGTGCAAGAGAAGTAATTCTTGGATTTTTTGCAGGAGGAAATTCACGAGTTGCTTCTGAGTTTTGCTGAAGCTAGAACCACAGTTGTGAGACTTAAAGGAGGTGATCCACTGGTGAGTTTTCATGTGAAAACTGTTAGAACAAAAACTTCTTAGCAAGAAACTTGAACAAGCAGGATTAAAAAAATATATATAGAAACTTCAACAAGCAGGATTAAAAATTAGTTTTTTTGTCCTGAATTTTTGTGGGTGTATCAGGTGTTTGGGAGAGGTGGGGAGGAGATGGATTTCTTGCAACAACAAGGGATTGAAGTGCAAGTCATTCCAGTTACGATTGTTTGACAGAGTACAAGTCCATTATTAGAATTAAACTCTTTAGGCTTTGTTTTTCTAATTTTAATTCGAGAATGAAATTTCCTCATAATATATTTAGTCTTCATTGTAATGGGATGATTTTAAGGTCCTTTGATTGGCATTGTTTGGAAGAGATCGAGTGATGGAATACCTTGATTTCCTTTATCATATAGAAAAATTACTGTTCGTGAAGCAGACTAAAAAGGGCGAAAGAAAATAAAATGGGCAGAAAAACAAACAAATATGAAAGAGTCACGTTAATATATAGGAACGACTTCATTAAAGTGAAAAATGTTGTGATCGATGATCAAATATACTATGCAAACATATCCACATACGCTTTTCTCAAGATGCCTTGAGATTTTCGTTCTCTATGTTCTCATGTACAAAGCAATCCCTGTATTGTTCTTTGACAAGTAGCATCATGTTGCCATCAATAGAAAAATGAGAGACAAGACAAATCATGTTATCCCAAGTGAAGAGAGTACAAGAATAAAGAAGTATATGGATGTCAATACTCTTTGTAAATGCCATCACACAACATGCATGACATTTTTTACTATGAAATATATAAGAGTGGACTCTCCATACGACCCCAATGTCACCATACGAGGATGGAGAAGATGGATGAAACTATATCATACCCAAAACATTTTTCAGTATGGCCGTCCTATTCCTCCTAATGCCCTTGTTGTTTTTTCTGGCTGATTTTGTGTTGTTTCTTTTGTTAAATTACTTTTCTTATTTACGTGGAATCTCTTGTACCTTTCATTGTACCTGTGTCAATATGATTTTGCACATGTATGGATATGGCCATAGAACATGTGTTGACATAATATCCTATTAGACAGGGGATGCCCTTCTCTTAACTTTTATGTGTGGTGATGTAAGAAGAAAAAACTCAAATTTGATGTGGGAGAATATTTCATATTTTTGAAATAAATGGAATTCCATTTCTTCATCAACCACCAACCTTTGATTTTGTTAACCAACCATTTACTTCCTCCTTCAATACTGTTTGACAAGGACTATTCATTGAAAGAAGAAGGTCAGTGGTAAAATGTTGCATAACTCATGCAACCAAAGCAATGCAGGCATAGCAAAATATCAATGAGCTGCCACATGTTCACATGCATTGACACATTAAATATGAGAACTGAATAAATAAGGGGTTCATGAGAACTGCCGAGGACGTGAAACGATTCCATAGTTTTTTATTACATGCATGGCTAACTTGTATTGTATATCTTATTATCTTACAAAATTGATTTTACCTTTAAAAAAAAAAAATGTTCTCTTACTACCCTAATAATAGTTGTTTCAAGTAAGAATGTGTTTAGAATTTTGCATTTGCACTTTCTTACCAGTTATACGATTATTTTACTATCTTCATTACCATAAAATTCATGAAGTTCAATTTTTTTTTTTTTTTCTACGTAAGGGAAACATGATCTTCATTGATATGACTAAAAACTCATGTGTTGATTATCTAGGGATAGACATCTTTTGCTAATTATGCATGTAAGACCTCTTATTCAATCATAAATGCTCAAAGTATATATTGGATTCGCGGATAATTGATTAAGTTAAATGGATTTCTTTTTCTCTTTTTTTGTTTTTTTTTTTTGTTAGATTTCAATTGTGCATCACCATGATTATAAATGTTAGTGGTAAATAATATATATCACAATGTCTATGTTTCTTTTATAGATTGAGGAAAAAGAAGGCATTCAGCTTTCTCGTGCAAATTTATTCATACGCACACATACAAATAAGGATGGCAATGCTTCTGATGTTGCTGCTTCAGAGATGATTGTAAGTTTTCATACTTCCAATTTGCAAAAAGGGGGTCACTGCCTTAAAGTGACTAATTTTTAAACTCTTTGAGGTGTATTAGGGGGTCACATGCCTTGAAGTGACCAATTTTTAAATCATCGGCCCGTGTGGAGGCATTTTAGTTTCATTGTTTATCATTGGTTTGTGTGGAGGCAATTTACTTTCTTGTATTTGTTGAAAAGTATGGGAGTATGGGATCATTGTATGTGGAGGCTTCTTGTTGATTGATTTGTGTTGTGGAGAAGTATTTGCTATTTATTGACTAAGGACTAATTAATTTCATAAACTAAAATATCTGAACCGAACATGTAACTAAATCAACAATGAAATGAAAATGAAAATGAAAAAAGAAATAAAAATCATTAGACAAGTTGAACATGTTGACAAATATCTGACTACTGCTATAAGACAAGAATACAATATACTATACTATATCATTCTCACTATTCAATCCCATGTTGTCAACCACTTTTTGGTTGTTGCAATCCCATAGTAGCACTCCCCTAGTCTTTAATAGGCTAGATACACTTGCTTAGGTATTAATAACCAATTAACAAGCAAGGTATATTCTAATGCAAGGTTATAGCAGCATCGTCAGTGTTAAAACATTGAATTTCAGTTTTATCAGACACAAACTTGAAACAATTCAAATTCTCTTCAACAAAGGATTCTCATAGCTTCATTTAATCATAATACACTTGCACAAACATGGTCTTTAATAAACTCAGCAAGATTAAGACATTTCAGTATAAACCAGTAACAAATAGGCTCAACATAGGATCTGTTTTAATGCCACTTTGATGCTTTTGAATTGAGGGTATAAATGGTATTCTGGAAGGTCTCAGGCTTGGATAATGTTCTTATACACTTGGTTCATCTTTTCACAAAAGCTCAGAGGTTAAGAACATCAATAAATGTATGAAACTCAGCCCCAAAAATTGCTACTAGTTAGTTTCTGCAAAAATATAGCTCTAAGGGACTAAATTGTAAATTCACAGCTGCAGAAATATAACCTTTATTTCTCTAGGATTTTTCACATTGAGGCACACTTTTTCAATTACTATAACAGTCTTTTTATAGGCCTCACACTGTCAACCCTAATATGAATAAGATAGAGCTACATTCTACCTATAACAGTGAGGTAGTACGCCTGCTATTTCAGTGTGAGAAAAGACTACCATATCCTTGTATATTTCAGCTGAAGAACACACCTTTTTAGTAGTCTTTGACAGATATTTTATACACATAAGTGTGTAAATGTGTATATACAATGTAGTGCAACCTTGAGGCCAATAAATGCCATTCTGTCATCAGCTAATATTAATAGGACCACTATGCACTTGTCAGCATTTGTAGCTACACAGAATTACAAAACTGCCCCTGCAGATTCCCTTTTTTACATACCGGCAAAAGCACTACTGTCACATTTGATTTGTCTGGTACATGAATAATTCAAGCTCAACTGAACAATGTAGCTCCACAAGCATATATAATATGAATATAATGATGTGTATAATGACAAAAATGCCCTTATAAAGGCTGTAGGCCAATTAAGTGTGTTGTCACAGAATTCTTTGACTTATAAGGGCTGTAATGACTTCGTTGAAACTCCAATGAGTAATGAGCTTATATCAGTTTGTAATTCAATGAGTAAACCTCCAAAATATGGCAAACAACACTTGACCAAACCCCAACATGCCAATAAACCATGATCAAATTGCATTTAGCCCTTTAAACATGCATTTCGTCATTAAAAAAGCAAGTCTCAAGATAAGCATATTAGGGACCAACAGAGTAGAACGATCACCCTAGATTCCCATAACCATCACACTTAAGGTTTGTTGGAAAATTCCTGTAAAAGATGTTCTTTACTTAATTGAAGCACTCATAGCTATAAGATTTGGAGTCTTATTTAGAAACTTGAGAATTTTGCTTAGGGAAAAGAAATAAATAAAAACAAATAAACTTTGACTAATTAAACTAATATAGACCAACTAAAAACCATGAACAAAGGTTCATTACAATAATTTGGACCAAAATATGACCCATAAATCCTACTGCATCCCAAAAACGGAAAATCTGAAAAATTATTAAAATAGAACATAAAAAGAAAGCATATATCAATTAAACTAGCAACAAACTGAGATAATATATATATATATATATATATATATATATATATATATATATATATATATAAGACTTGACTTGTTTTCAAAGTTTCAGATTTGCTCATAATCGTTGCACCAAAAACCTACAATGTTTCAGATTTGCTCATAATCATGAGATAAAGAGACTACAGATTATGATATCGTATTGTTCATGAATATAAAGAGATTATGATATTGTCTGTTCTCATACATCCTTGCAAAAATCTAGTATTCAATTAAGGAAAATTATCTGTTTGAAATATTTTTGGCAGATTTAAGGAAAAAATTCTTAGCAAAATGTTTGTGTTTGATTCATAAATGATAATCTTGTTATTTTTCCTTTTTATTAGCATTCTGAATTTGAGACTTGTGTGATGCAGCTACTTTTTTGGATTTTGTACCGTGGATTTTGCAGCTACTTCCTTGGATTTTGTACAGTGAAGTGGTTTTTTGACAAATGCAGATTGAAACTCAAGTGCTAGAAGGTTTTATCAATTTTTCAATAGAAGTGTTAAGAAATTGATGAATTTCTTGACAAATGGATGTACTTCCTGTTTTGGAACATTGATAAATGATGAATTGTAAAAATGTTTTAACTCTTTTGATATATTTAATGGGATATGTATGTTTTTTGAATTAAATTATAACTGAAAGTAATGTGAATTATAGTGGATGAGTAACTGGAATTAATTAAGGGTGTTTTATTTATAAAATATATATATATATATATATTTTATTTATGGGGAGCTTGAAATCCCGTAAATAAGTGAAAATCCTCCTTAAATAACTTTTCTACGGCAGATGGGAAGCGGCGAGAATGGATTATATTATTTACGGGTACCTAAAATTTTCCGCAGAAAAGTTTTCTATGGCATGCTTCGATACCTCATGAGATTATTTACGGGTAATTACAACTCGCCGTAGAAAAGTTTTCTACGGCATGCATCGGTCCCTCGTGAGATTATTTACGGGTAGTTACACTTCGCCGTAGAAAAGTTTTCTACGGCATGCCTCGGCAACTTGTAGATTAATTATTAACGGAAAAATATATTTTTCTACGAGATAGATTTTTTCGCGTAAAAAAAATTGAATATTTACAGAACCCTCATACACGAGAGCCTAGAATACGCCGTGAATAGGTTTCTACGGTGTTTTTGGCCCCTCGTAGAAGCCATTTTTTCTTGTAGTGACTATTCTCTTCTTAGGAGTCAAAAGGAAAATTTTCTTTTTAAAATATACTTATCTGGTTTATTCATTATCTTCTATATTGAAGTAGAACCACTCTTTAATATTTATTGGTTATGGTTTCATTTGCACATTATCGATCTCTTCAATATTCATTAATTGATCACAACATTTCCTTTGTACTCATAGGAATTCTTGGACATATATATTGTCACTTGTTAGTCATTTCTTTCTTCATTGGGAGTCTCACCCAATTCCAATCCCTTCCTTGCTGGATGTCTAATTCGATTCCAATCCTTATATATTCTGCCTCCAGGTTCTCTCTAATTCTCTCTATAATAGACTATTATGTTCATAGTTATGGTTGTAGTCTTGGCAAAGGAGGTGATGCAGCATAACTTAACTGGGGTGCGGGCTATGTTATGCCTTGTTATAATTGGGGTGGGTTTGATTGTTAGTATCTCTGTGTTTGTGACTCTGTGCATTTCACTATGCAACAAATCTCGAATTTGTCCAGATCTTAGAACATGATGAATTTTTAGTTTTCAGGAATACGTCTCATTGACCCATTTTTTCCATATTTTTTTATTGAAGCAAAAGTTAGATTTACTTTGGAGAAAGTTGAAGAGATTGTGGGTGATTTTAAGTAGTTGAGATTAATGCCTTGTTCTTAAGTAGAGAAGATAAAAACATTGGTGAATTGATGTAATTCACAGTTCAACTCGTACAAAGCTTTGTCCAACTATTTGATGGTCCATTTTGTTTTGAGGTCATAATTTCAGTTAAATGGCATGTTATTATATATTTTCTTACTTCCTTGATATATGTTATTTTTTGTGTTTCCCTTCTCTTGGCATTACTCTTTATACGAAACATGCATTCTTTCTCACTGGTACTGTTGGAGCCTTTTTCAAATTGTAATCAATTTGATGATCTGAATTAACCAATCTCACTAATTTTGATTTTGGACAAATTTATTATGATTTACTAGTTGTTGTTACAGTTAATTAAATGTGCAACATGCCAACTACAATTGTGACGGCCCAAATTTTTCAACCTGGTACGTCAGTGATGAACCGAAAGTTGATCCGATGATGGATCCGAAATGCAGAAGCAAATGATAAAACAAATTTTTTAGAGATATCAACCATCTCTAAGACACCAATGTGACCTTCCATGAAGTCACGAAACTTAGAGAGAGCGAAAACAGAAGCAATGGTCAAAACGGCCAAAATCCGTGAATAAAGGGGCAAATGGTTAATTCATAATTAAGAGGGGAATTTGACTCTAAAAAAGTCAAACAAGGTGAATAAAACCTAATCTAGTCATTTCACAACATTCCAAGAAGTTCCAAGAACATTGGCTAAGAATTCCACAAAATGCCCTTTCCCGATTTAAGCAAAAACTGACACCCTCTCACTAAAACATGAATAAATCTCACTGTAATTTGAATATGAGAATGGCATTTGTACCATTGGAAAACTTACTCAAGATCCATGAACTTAGGCTCAAGAATCACTCCATTTGGATTAGAAACAAAGGAGATATGGCCACTTGAAGTTGGAACTTTAGTGCTGAAGCAAAATTGAAGAGATGTGCAAATGAGGGCTATTTCGGTCGACCGAAATAGAGGTAGGGTGAGTTTCGGTGGACTGAAACTCACAGAAACATTTCTAAAGGTAGGTTTTTGAGGGGAGGATGGTTCAGTAGGCCAAAATAGGCCATTGGTCGACCAAACTAGAGTTTCGGTCAACAGGAATATGCAAGATAATCAACTATCTACCAAGCACAACCAAATTTGGAAACCTATACAATACATGCTCTAAATTCACAACTAATATGATATGATGAATGTCGAATCTTTAGTGTACGATTCGTTACACGATATGCATGAAAGATGTTAAATACGAAGTGTGCAAATCATTACACAAGGCAACAATATATTTAATAAGGAAAACATATTCTCATGAGTACAAACATAGCAACTATGTTTTCCAATGTCCAAAACATAACCAAATGAATATACAACAAGTCTAAGTCCATGATTTGAATATAGAAACCACTTCTAAAACACAACTAGATCATGGAGCAAATTGATAGAATTTAAATAGATAAACACAATTAAATTCTCTAGATTCTGATTCAATTCCAATTAACCTCAATTTAATACATGTTAAAGGACATGGCAAGGTCATCACCTATATCCATTCTAAAACTCAATTAGGTTGTTAGAACAACAAAGTAGAACTTTAATTAAATCATGCTAATTTAAATCCCAATGTTCTAAAACAACTTCAAATAGTCCCAAATTAATATATACTAGTAAACAAGTCATGGCCAATACAAATATCAATTTAAAACCTTAATTAAGCTAATAGGACCACAAAATAGATTTTAATTAATTCTTTTAATTAAAATCTCTTGATTTTCAAACTTAACCAAATGCTCTCAAATTAACCTATGTTGGAAAACATGCCAAGAACTAATGTAATATCACATTACAAGTTTATTTCATTCAATTTAAGATCATGTGAATTAAACTTTCACTAAAGTTAAATATAAATTAAAAGTTGCAATTCTCATACAATTAATCCCAATTTAATATATGTGAACAACTATACCTAAGCTTAATTTTGTAGCATGCCACAATACAATTCCAAGTTGTATATCACCATGAGGATTAAATCTTAAACATGTAATTTAATTAAATAAAAGGTTTCAAAACCTAACCGAATATTCTAAATGAAATATATGTGAAACTATATGGCATATAAATCAAGAATATCAAGTCAGAATTCAAATAGAGTGAATAGTGCATTCGGGGCAAATTAATTAATAATTACTAATTTTTAAAACACCTCCAATTACTTTCAAATTCAATTATGTTGGAGAGCATGCTAAGGCTTAATTTAATATGCTAACACATATTGATTTTGAGCTAATTAAGGCCACATGATTTAATATTTTATTCAAGATAAATATTAAATAAAATCTTTATTACTTGTTCAATTTCCCTCAATTTAATATATGTCAATGACCATATTATAGAGTATTATATTACCATGCTACATGTTTAAAACAAATCATAAGCAATCGAAAAAATCAAATCCAATACAAGAAAATTAAATAATAAAATTTCTAGATTTCATATTTAAGCATGCAATCAAGTTGTATAAGCATCAACAGCATGTTATATAATAAGAATTAAACCTATAACATCTCCTACCTCAATTTGAGATGAAATCCCAAATCCCCACCGAATTGAAACGGCTTCGAATCTGACGAAACTCCTAAGTTTTGTCGGGGACAACACGATCTATATGAATCCCCAAGAAACCCCATGAAAATCCAAATTTGACCTCAATCCCGAACTCAAAATTTGGTCAAAAATGGTTTCTAATAAGGGGTAATGGTAGAGCAGGACGAGGCGAACAACAAATGCTAAGGCCAAAAGATTTCTACCAAGGAAAAGTGGACCAAAGGAGGAGAGAGAAAGTGTGTGACGATGTAGGTTTTTAGGCCAGCGTGTCCTGTGATGAACCGTAAGGATGATCCGATAACAGATCCGAATACAGAAGCGAAAATAGGAAACAAGACTCTAAGAAGTCAAAGTGACCTTCCATGAGGTCGTGGAACTCAACAAGAACTGATACGGAAGCAAAAGATCAAAAATATAACAAATAAGCCCCCAGGGGCAAAATAGTTATTTCTGAAAACTGTAGATTCAGGTGCCACCGAGCACACCGTTGGAAGAATAACGAAAAACTAATCAAGATGGACTCAAGAATCGCATCATTCGGAGTCCGGACGAAGGAGAAACGGCATGAAGAAGAAAAACGAGCACTTAAGGCAAAAAGGGTAAACTGGTAATTATCTAGGAAGAACCGGGTGCAACTGAGCACACTGTTAGAAAGACAACGAAAAATTAGTCAAGTTCAGAAAAAAATTCACTTGAATCGGAGTCCGGAGGAAGGAGAAAAGCCCAAAAGAAGAATTGACGTCGCAGCGGCCCGACGAGGGGGCCATGACAGCCCCCCCATGAGCGCCCATGCGCACGCCCATGCACGCCGCGCGCGCTGAGTGCACCATGGCTGGCAGCAGCAGCCCAAAAGCTGCTATGTGTTTATTTTTCAGAAAAATCCGGAACAAAGGCTGAATTTGGAGGCCTAGATGAATTTTTTTGCAAAAACACAAAGAAGAAACCCCCCTCAAAATTGAGTTTTCTACATAATTTGTGAGAGAATTAAAAAAAAACGCAATGTAGAATGCCCGAAATGCCCCTCCATGAAATCTGGTCATGGAGGTCCAAAAAGCTGCTATTTTCAAAAACTGAGAACTGAACTTCGTAAGCGATTTCCGATATCAAGACGACATTTTCTGGAAAAACACGGAAAAGAAACCCCCCCTAAAATCATGTTTTCTATTCAACCATGTTGAAAGAAGAAAATAAAACCAC